ATTGGAAATACTGGCAGACCAATTTAGAGATAAAAATACGCAACCCGTGATGCGGTTATTGTGTTATGATGAGAAAACCCGCCTGCTTCAAGGAATATTTCGTTACAAGTTCGCAATGTATACATTTGCATGCATGGAAAAATATTTTTTCGACTTACTGCAAAAGAAATGAGTTTTAGAAAAAGACCAATTTTTTTATTAATGCTATTCCTGACAGTCTGCTTAAGTTATTTATATCATAATTCCAACAATTTTACTTAAGATTACTGAAATAAATGATCATGAATCCGCGAAGGTTGTTCACGTATTATTCTTTTGGTATATATTGGAACAGAGAAATTTATGTTCATTATTAACTAGTGCCCCTATAATATAACATAACCTAATACAATATAGTCATAGCATATTACTTTATTCACTACATGTTGTAATAATGTTTCGGTATAATCCTCAAATTAATATGATGCAATGCGAAGTAATATATGAGTATTATATAGTATTCTGCCAGCATTTATTTGCTCAGGTATTATCAAATAGCTTACTGCAAGCAGATATAAGTATTGGAACATTATTAATCGGTAGTAATGTAATACAAAATGATAGAATTCTATGTTATTTGTCCTACTGCGTATGATAATGTATTGAGGGAATATTATTATATGATTTTTTTGAATTTCGCATTATTGACACCAATAAATGATATTTTGTGATAAAATATAACCTAACACATTGTAATGGGATCATATTGGAACGCGAGAAATAATTTTTCGCATCAATATATGTGATAATATTCCAATTATGCATAATATGATGAAATATGAAGTATTATATGATTATTTTAAATATATATATTATATTCTAACTGTATTTATTTGACCACGTATATGCGCATTACTTACTTGTATTTATGCAATCCAATATAATATAATATAATGATATTTATTACGTTATTTTTTATATATACGGCATATTATGATGCATTCCTGCTACTATATTGTATTATTTTATAACTTGGCCTAATTTAAAAAAAACATGAGGTATTATTTTAGTATATTACGGTATTTAGTTGATCAGATATTATAAAGTTATTATCTTGTAGCGTACCTCTGTCGAATCAGAGAATAAGCATATAACCAAATTATATTTTTATATTATAATGGTATCATATTATGATGTTTACGATATTGTAAAGAATAACATTTTGCAGTATGAAGAATTTCTTATTTATTTTACATTTAAAAGTTTGTTCTACCAGCATATCAGTTTTTATAGAAAAATTTACACAAAATGTTAAATTTTTTCCCGAGAGAATCGGATATTGCCGTTTGCTTTTATCAACTTTTAGCATAAATTGAAATCGCTAATTTTTATCTATTCTCAGCTCAACTCCGACAAACTCGTCAAGAGTCTGGAGGCCCAGTTGGCAGAGGCTTCGGCCAGCCTGAGTGAAAGCAATCGACAATTGGCCGACATCAACTCTGGGCAATCACGCTCCTCTGTAGAGGTGACGGAACTGATGTCGAAATTGGAGCTAGCCGAAACGGAGGTTATTCAGCTCAACAAGCTCAAGCAACAAATGGCCACACAACTGGACGAGGCCCGAAAGAGCCTGGAGGAGGAGACACGCGTATGTTGCCTTAAATTCCCATTTATGGCTTTACACTTTCCATTTGGGCATTGTCCTGTCTACAACCCTAATTCGGTTCATCATCACTCGGTGACGTTTTGTTCAGGTCAAAGCGAAGCTGAGCCTCGAAACACGCCGCCTCACCGGCAGCGTAGACGGTCTTCGAGAGGCTCTGGAGGAAGAGCAATCGACAAAAGCTGACCTTCAGCGGCAACTGCAGAAAGTACAGGCCGAGGTGAGCCAGTTGCGGCTGTCTGGAGGCGGTCTTGGTGCCAAAACCGAAGAGGTTGGAGAGCTGAAACGTCGCCTGAACGGAAAGATACAAGAATTGGAGGCTGAATTGGACGCATCAGTGACAAAATGCGGCCAACTCGAAAAGGCCAAGTCGAGGTTGCAGGGTGAAATTGAGGACATGGCGGTGGAAGTAGAGCGCGCCAACTGCGTGGCCAGTCAATTGGAGAAGAAACAGAAGAATTTTGACAAACTACTGGCTGACATGAAGAAGAAATGCACAGACTGCCAGGTTAACATTTTGCACTTTTGCTACAAACTGTCCCAACATTTGCCTCAATCCATCGGTTTCACCGTCTTCCCTTTCTCTTAAGGCTGAGTTGGAGATTGCTCAACGCGACGTACAGCAGCGCTCTGCCGAAGTATTCAGCTTGAAGTCCCAACTCGAGGAGCTTCAGAACCAGACGGAGATACTCAGAAGAGAAAACAAAACCCTGGCCAGTAGGTTTTTCTTCTCAGAGCCTAATTTCAACATGAATTCCCTAACCTTTGGCATAGTTTGCCTGATTTTGGGCTTGATGATGTGTGGAAAAAGTTTGAAAATAATAGTAATTTTTATGTGAATATGTTGTGAAACTCATAGCAAGTCTTTACCAAGAAATTAGTCATAATAGTTAAAGTCTCATTTAAAGAAATGAACAAGTTATTGTTCATTAATCACATCCATTTTGAAGATATTCTTACGAGACAAATAAGTAATGTCATCGATGTTGCCAGCGAAAACATGTTCTAGATGGCAATGGAAGTCACATATTCCTTTCTATTGTTTTAAACTGGGTTTCAAATCTATCAGACCTTTTGAGGAATATGAGTAGGTGAACTTTGATGGAATCATACGGCCCACATCTACCATTGACTCATCTTTAGCAACCTAAGGCAATTGATAATAGGGAATCTGCTGCGCGACTAAAAGACTTCTTTGATGGCCGATAACCCTAATTAATCTCAATATGAGTAATTTTGGAAATCTTGATAAATTACTAAATCCCAACTTAATCATCCCAGTTCGAGTAGGATGATTTTAAATACTCAGTTGATTTTTTCTCATAAAAGAATAATTAGCCTTCAAGGTGTAATTGGATTTCACAAAGGTTTGCTTCACAAAAGCTATTCTAAGTCAGGATAGAGTACAATTTATAATGCGCCCAGGTTTCATCAGAACTCTCAATGGGACTCAAACCCGGATTGTGAGTATCGCGGCGACACATGTTCCGGTGGGTTAAGGGTAAATTAAGACATACGAGGCAAGCAAGGCCTCTCAGAATCACATTTCTTTGTTGAAGGACTATTGCTAAAATTAAACATGTCTTTTTCTTTGTCATTTAAGACGCTGCTTAGGTTTGATATCAGTTGTTTTAGATGGCATAAATAATAATTAAATAAGAATTTAGTCAGTGTATGTCGAGTATTGTGATATAATGATTATAAAATAAGCTTTTAGGAGGTAATGCTAAATCATACGCAGTGGTATAAAGAAGCCTACTTATTTGATTGTGGGAAAATTCAACTATTAATACGTTTCATTGTCTTAAACGGCCGAGGCTGAATGAGTTATTATTTAGTAATTATGGATGGCCTCAATGATTACTCATATCATTTGAGTAGATCGGTATGATTTGCTGCTGGTAAATAGTTTGCCGTATTGTGACGAGGTTGCATGAACCATAACATATGACGCAGGAATATTCCCATTCAATGTTTTTATTGTTTTCCACTGCGTCTACATTCTCTTGCTCTCTTGCACCTTCGCTGCAGACGAAGTCCACGATTTGACCGAACAATTGGGCAAAGACGGCCGGTCTGGGCATGAAAACGAAAAGCTACGCAGGCAGCTTCAGAAGGAGAAAGAGGAGCTTCAAATGGCCCTCGAACAGGCCGAGTCCGCGTTGGAGCAGGAGGAAGCGAAACTGCAGACCGCCCAGACGGAGATGAACCAAGTGAGTGGATAAGTCCAAACATCGTCTCATTACAACTATTGAAATGGGCTAAGGTACATTGATAGCGGTTGTGTCCAGAGTTGGCGAAATCGCAAATACAGGCCACTCAGACGAACAGGGCCTAATCAGCCCTGCATGATTTCGGTG